TTATCAAAATCACAGGGCGGGCAGAGCTCCACCCCACCAGACGCACACCGAGGAATCTCCGTGGGACATAGTGCACCCGCCATAACAGATGTGGAGTTGTCATTCGGGTTTTTCTGTTCTAAAAACCAGGTGCAAAATCGCTCTAGTTTTATACACCGCAAATGATAAGGGTAGTTAACTAGACGAGCTGATGTTTCAATTTTCACCGCACAATGCGGAACGAGAAACCAGACATCAGCTCCCAGATTTGCTACTTCTTGATGTATAATTTCAGCCACATACTTAAGCTAATATCACAACTCCCACATTGCTATGCTGCATATGCGAAATTTTGCATGCCCAATTTGTGAATGATGTAAGCAAACAACAAAGCAAAACCAGCTTCCAGAATTCAACTTCTTCTCGACTTATCATTCCAAGCGAAATTTGAGTGAACATTTCAAAGAAGAAGGTCAAAAATTCGAAATTTTAGGATCATAAAAAATTCCTATAAAAAACATCCCAAACCAGTCCAATCATTTCTTGCGATTCTCAAGTATCTGATTGCAAATGTGCATTAGCGCACTTGAGTATGTCAATAATTGTTACAGATACCACGAGTGTAGAATTAGCGCAAATGCAGGATTACTTTGATCCCATGCTGTTATAAACATGTTCTTATTTCGTTATTGAAGACTTTTGTGCTTTGTTCGCATTTCTCAAAAGCCACGTGTTTCTATGCAATCCCCTCAGTGGAAGCTCTCATCTCATTGGCAGTCTTACCTATGTCCATTTAACATTGTAAGCTGCATTTACCAATCTATTATTCGTTGCACTGTATTCGTGCCTACTAAACATTGCTCATATAATTCATTAGCTAACTTGCAAAAGTGCAATTAAAGATAAAAACCTTTATAAACACAATTTGAAAAGCACGATATGTTAAGCAAACTGACAAATTACAAAAAAAAAAAAAAATATCACAGCATAACTGAAGGCACAACATCAACTCGAGTAATAGCCAAACCACGGAAAGCGCAAAACAAGTGAGTGAGAGTCAACCTATCCCACAAACAGCGTTTCACTGTGGCTTCAACCCGTTAAAAAATGCTAAATTACTGTGATTAATTACTTTCACCTGATATTTCACAAAGTGTTTCCTCAGTGATTTTGTTACCTCCTTCTCTTCTGATTTCTCAAACGGCACTCTGAACTAGCCTTTGGGCAACCTACTCCTTTTTGAGTGGCGCAACCTTTTGAACTGTGGTCGCCCGAGAACATAAGTAGCTTTTCCATCCTTTCATATATTTTTTAAAACCAACTTCGAAACATCCAACCGCAGGCAGGCTCCTGTGCTGGGGAACTTCGACCTCCAAAATCATCCATCCTTTTGTATTATCTATTCTTTCTCTTTGTTCTTTCCCAGTCCAGCATAAGCTTTAATCTCGCGATAAAAAACCAGTGCCC